TGGGCGGGGAACCTACTAGCAAGGTCTTGGCGCTGGAACTTGCTTGGTTGCCGAGTTGAAATATCCGGGCGGACGAACATGCACACACACACAAACATACACACACATACACACAGACAGGGTCGTCGCAATATGTTTTTTTGCAATTTGCATATAGGTAAAAACGCATAAAAAACGGCCGCTAACGGAAATTTTGTATGCAAAATTTACAATGATTTACGGTATTGAGCGCGCAAGGTAGGTGTGAAGAAACAACCGTTCAAACATTTAACCTAATCACTTCAAGTTTGGTGCAAAAACGCATGATCGCACTGACTCGCCTGGTGCGTTCCAGCCTGCGTTAACTGCATGAATGGTTGTTGCCTTACACCGACTTTTTGCGCTCAGTAGCTTAAGTCATCGTAAATTTTGCATAAAGGAAACGAACAATTTCCGTTTAACGATCGTTCTGTTGGGAGTAAGTGATCTTGCTCTCCCCTTTCGAGAACTTTCCAGCGCACAACCCGGATCTGGAGCGTAGATCGACTGGAAAAGTTTAGGGCAGTGTGTTGGCAGTCGACAGGGCTGTGCGGCCGACACAAAAAGGATCGACATCTCCCCCAGCAGCAGCTTCGACAGCCGCTCGAGGAACGTGGAGTGTGAAGGCCGAACGGACCGTGCTGACCGTGGTACCCTGGTCAGCACCAACGGAGGAATCATAGACTAGGAGCTCCGATCATAGACTAGGAGATATTTTCTGTTGGACTAATAAAAATCCAACTCGACGTGCGCCGCAACGGACACGACACGTTCTTTAAGAATTACCGAGCTGTTCGGTGAGCAATTTTCCCGCCAAAACTTTCAGGTGCCCATACGTGAGAACTATGCGTACCTGGAGGCCGAGCTTGAAATATTTGGTGAACGCCTTAAAATGATCATTTCTTGAAATATGGGCAAATCGTCGTAAATGACTTACTGTTCGATCCTCATGGAAAGTTTAGTCCTTCTGATAGAGTCTTATGAATTTGATAGCATGTTTGGGATGAGGTCGCTTTCTTGGGTAGTGAAACATACAGCGTACCAGAAAATCCCCCATCAAGAAATTCTGCAGTTTCTTTTAATACAGATAAATTTCATTCTGCTGTTCGCGGACATGCATTCTTGCGTGGTTGCTTCAGCTACAACGAACCAACGAATCAAAGATCAAAATAGTGGATGTTTTCCCAGGCTGTTATCACGAGTGTTTATTGCGAGCTACCATGAGAGGGGCTGTCAATACTTCACAGCCTGACACTTCATCAAAAGTTCCTTTTGCTCCCCTTTTTAGGCTGTTTTCTTTCTCTCAGATCAAACTCAAAGGATAAAGCGCCACTCGGCTTTGAATGTTCGTCGGTGCAAAGTGCTGTTAATAGTAGCTCGTGGGCGCGCTCAAATTTTACTACCATCTACCAAAGGTTATTAATTCCTAGCCGCACGTTTTGCAAAAGTTGGCATTCTGCCTCGTCTTAGGATTAAATCAGGTTAAATCAGGCCTTGATGGGTCCGGATGCACATGTAGCTTTCATCATTCTTTAGTTTATTTAAAATTGAATTTGGCTGCTTTTGACTTCGTTA